AAAATCAAAACAACAAAAAAACGCTTGTAGCTCAAAATTTTGCCTATGAAAGTGCCTTCTGCGTACTAACAAAAAAAAAATTCCTCGTGAAATATAACTATAACTATAACCCTCTAAACCAAACATTAACCTACTGGTGGGACCCTAACCCTAAACTAATCGCGAAACAGTTTTTTTTTAATAAGATCACATAGTCAGCGAAATTTTTTAGATGGTGATGCTAGACTTATAGATTTTACCCCGGCTGATTTCCCAAATAAAATTTCTGGCCGGCATTACCATATAAGCTGGCTAGCACTAACATAACATCTGGCCTAGATTAACATACTTAATTAGTAATTCTGTAATTGACATATATATTTGTTTATTACACGCTTCTAATTGGTCGCTCATGATTTTTTTTTATCAACATTTTCACAGTTTATATTCCCATGGTTAATATTCTCATGACTGATATTTTATGGCTGATATTTACATGGCTGATATTTTCACGGCTGATATTTTCATGATTGACATTTTCATGGTTGATATTTTATAACTAGTATTTAAAAAACTTTTTACAATTCTCTGAAAGCTTAAATGCGATCAGGTTTTTTTAATAATTCTTGTGCTTATGTACCGGCCCAAATACTAAATACAATTGGGATTTTTTTCTAAAAAAATTATGTACTAGCCAAAGAGCTTGAATATGTTTGGGTTTTTTTTAAAAAATCTTTTGCGCTAATCTAAAAACTTGAACATGTAAATTTTTTAAAATCTAATATAGCAAGAATGATGCAATATAAATTTATTACTAATTACTAAATTAATACATCATATGTATAAAAAATACAAGTGTACTATTTTTGAATATAAAAAGTAACATTTGAAAAGTACAATTATTGAATACGGGTGTCTTTGAAATATCTATATTATTTCAATCAGAAGTAATTTCTTGAAGAGGAACTCGTGATTGTAAATTATCATTAAAAGAACCTTCAGTAAGATTTATCAACATATTTGATGTATGAAGTTGTTGATCTTAATTAACTTGTTTGTATGCACAAATTCTCTGAACGTTTTTATGACCTGTAAGTTCTATAATTGCCTGTTCTGGAATTTCATGATCTTGTAAACATTGAGTGGCAGTTTTACATTCAGAATAGTTAGAAAGTAGTTCAACTAGAATATCAATTTTTGTAATATGACCAATTTCTTGCATAAATTTCATTAATTTATTTTTTCCAATATGTTTTTTTTTATACCAAACACCTGCATCCAACCAGTTTGATTCAGGTTGCAAATAAAAATTTGAATCTGCCATATCAGGTCATTTTGATAAATAAAAGTAAATATCATTACAGGGTCCAATATTATCTTGAGAAATTGAAATCACATGAGCTTGACCCTTTTGTAGCCCCACTGGTTATTTTTTAAAGTATAACAGAAAAATTGCAAACCTCCATAATCATCAGATTTAAATTGATCAACTTTAAGCTCATAATGCTCTCCTCCACGCATTGCAAGAATAATTGATAGATGAAAAAAGACATGATACAAGAGATTTAAAGGACTACTATGACTTATCATTGAATGTTGCAATATTTCTTGAACTTGGTTAGAATTAAGAGCAATAGATCCTGAAACTTCACCAAATCCATGCTCTTGAAGGTCACACATTTTATTATGTAAAACATCATACAAGTCAGAAAACATATATTGATCATGTAAATTAACAGATGAGATGGGTGAATTATAAAGAAGGTAACGACTAATTGCATCAACAGCTTGTTTTACAGAATTGGTTTTATATTCATTTCTATCCTTTTTTTTCATTATAGAAATAAATTCAACAATTTGTTCCTCAAGTTGTTTTTTATTGTTAAGAACAGTCAATAAAATTAAATATCCAGAATTACTATGAAATTCCTCAAATTTTCTCATCCAATTTTTATTCGCCAATTCTGTGTTTTTATTTTTGGCTTTTTTATAGTAATATGCTACTTTAGTTTTCACATCACTAATATTAGAAATAGTAGATTTAGTTGATATAACAGGTGTAGTATATGTAGCAAGCGAAGTTGACACAGTAGATGAAGATTGGGCTTCTTTCAATATCAGTTTTGTGCTTTTAAAATTTGGATTTGACATATTTGCAACATTAAATTTAGGAAGTTGTTTTTTTTTCTGTTTATCTTTTTTTTAAAAAAAGTCATAAAAATCACTGTGAGAATATAAGCTGTAAGTATCAATAAAAAAGTTATGAGTATTAGAATCCGTATAATAAATCAGTTATTTCATGTATTTGTCATTGACATCATAAAGTTTCACAGGTCATGAGATGATATCATGCATAATTGCAGCTGCACCGCAATTATGCATAATATCATCTCCTGATCTGTATAACTTCATGATATTAATGATAAAACGTGAAATAACTATTACATATTGTTTCACATATAAGCAAGTGCAGGAAATGGAATATAGCCTCATTCCCTGGTTTTGTTGTGGGCATTCCCATATGCATATCATACTTAATATATTTTTATATAAAAATGTGAATTTCTATGTAGAATTTATTTATTCACATACTATTTCGCATATATATATATATATATATAATAAGAATTTACTATTTGCCGTTGGTATCTTTTGCTTACCAAAACTTTTTTCTTGTTCTAATAAATGAATATAAATATTATTAAATAACTCTTTTTAAAAATAAATGTCACAGCTGATGCTGAATTTGGCTGATGCTGAATATTGGCCTACTTTGATATAAAATTTTACAATTTTTTGGGGTGTATTTTGTTAGCTTTTTTGTAATAGTTAGACTAGAATTTAGGGTTAGAATTGAATAAAAGAGTATATGTGGGTTTTAGTAGGTGTAATGGATCCAAATTAAGACACCAAATTCAGCATCAGCCAGATTCAGCATCAGCTGTGACAATAAATATAACATGGGTGGTAATCATGATATTTGGATTCATTTTACAAAAATTGGACCGGTTCTTGCAATATGTTTGGATTGTCAATCGTAATAAGTTTCGGTTTATAGATTATATATTGCATTAATAAGTTCTGAGTTTATTAATAATGAATACCACTTTTACTCTCCTTTAAACGCACACCATAGGAAGACTTTCGTATGATTGGCTGTTTAAATCAATTTAATTTAAATTATTTATACAGTTTAAAGTACTTTTTTAAAAAAAATCAAACTACGAAGAATAAACGATAAAGAAGTATATAGAAAGTTTTATTGAGTATTAAAAATAATCAAAATCATTTCTGGTTTTAGAGAAGCTAGCACGATCATAACCTAATTCTATCTATCTTTAAGAAGTCACTATTATGCTAACTTCTCTAAAACCATAAATGATTTTGATTATTTTTAATACTGGAGTCCTACTACCCTAATAAAACTTTCTATATACTTCTTTTGTGTTTATTCTTCATAGTTTGATTGTTTTTATAAAGTACTTTAAACTGTATAAATAATATAAAATTAAATTAATTTAAACGGCCAATCATATGAAAGTCTTCTATAGAAACGCACCTAGTATCGCTACCAAAATCAGTTACGTAGTCGTTTTTTAAATTTTAATCTGCGCACAAGAATAAAAGAATCACAAGATCACGAAATTTTTTAAAAAAGTAATTGAAGTTTTTTATATATTCAACTAACTCGAATTTATTTAATTATTGCTATATTCAATTCAAAAATCTATTAATACGTATAAACTTTAAATATTTTTTTTGCTGTTGGTATTCTATTATTTAAATCTTTATTAATAAAACTTTAGTATATGCAAATTTGGTGTTATTATTACATAAAATTGAAGAAATTGTTTGTAACTCATGTGTCAAACTTTAAATTTGGATTTAATACTATTAGCAAAAGGTGTTTTTGTTATGCCTACTGCAAGAGATTTTGCTCATTTGAAATCTTTAATGTAATTTACCATTTTTTGAATAGAATTAAAGTTCGATTTAAAACTTCGAAGCCAGTTTTTGTTTTGAAAAATTATTAGATTGTTCGAACAATTAAACGTCTAAATATAAAAGTAATAAATTTATTAATTTAAATATGGAAATATAATGATAAAAAAATGTTTGTATCTTATGAAAGGTTTTTTTATACTTTCTTAAAATTTCAGATTTGGATTCATATTTTCAGTACTCAATTCCTCACTATCTATGTTTTAGTTTGCTGAATTTGTCGTGACTGAAGTTGGAATCTGCCTGAAGTTGGAACTTCAGTTGACTGAAGTTGCACCTGACTGAAATTAGCCCCTGAAATTAGATCATCCTGCACGCATTAGTTAGCTGTTTTAGGCAGGTGCAACTTCAGCAACTGAAGTTCCAACTTCAGGCAGATCCCAATTTCAGTCACGACAACCCTTTAAGAAAAATGATGAATTTATCTTCCCAAGAGAATTAACCAAAATGAAAAATCTTTTTTAAAATTTTGATAATCAGTTGAATACTACTGCACATTTTTAATACTACAATATATATGGTTAATTATTCCACACAGTTTTGAATTCTTTACTCCACGATGGTAATATTCATTCATGCAACAATTTTATATTTGTACAAGCATTTTTTTAGCATACCATATACCAATACATATCACTTTCTCCTTCAACATCCATAAGTTTTCATAAACTATATATGTATTCAAGCAAATATCATTTAAAATTCGCGTTTTTTGCTTTCATTTACATGGTTTGTACACTCAAAACATGATTTACTATTAATCTGAAATGCAATACTTAGTTTCGTAATCTGACAAGGTGAACAGAGTTTTGTAAGGTGTGTTCTATTTCAGATACTATTACGATATTCAATGAAATAAAAACTTCAATGTAAATTGTTATTATTATTATTAATATGTTATTATTATTATTATTATTATCATTATTGTATTTAATTAATAATTTTAGTGTCGGCAAATAAATTTAAGCTCCGTATATAAGTACCTGGTTTTGGTGGCGATACTAGGTGGGTTCCCTACTTTACACGTGTATTAGATTATATAATTCTTTTATATTTATAATTGGCCAACGGCAATAATCAAAAATTTAGTCAAAATTACTCGAATTTTTATTAATGAAATCGTGGCCGCCCCTTAAGTGAAATTTGTTTCTGGGCTAATTTTACCATTGCACAGGACCAAACATTAAAATTTTCTATTTTTGCAATTAAAAAAAAATTAAATAATTAAGTTCCGGCCAAAATTATGTATAATGCGGGCCAGAATTTTGTGGATCACAGCAGTTGGCCAATCAAAATCGAGGATCAACCGCGCCACCTAGGTTTAATGAATCCCGCGCGGGATTTTTGGAGACACTGCGATTTGCCCATCTCTAATTGTGATAATGCTTTATAGTTATAGCAGTAAAGGTAGCCACTACAAAGTTTATTATTAGTTTATTAGATCTGGGGACTAGTTAAAAGACTCAATTTTGAAAATCCGCCGATATGTGCAGCGAAAGTCATTCGCACTTGTAATGTATAGTTTAAAAAGGAAGTTACAGCACCCAGTATTCTCATGTTGTCCCAACCATAGTACTGAGTTTAGACTAGATTATCTTCGGATGTCGAACAATTCCGAAGTTTTCACTACCGGTATGTATGACCGTAACTATGAAAGACACTAAATCAAATTTTATAATGATTACAAAAATACACAAGATTAATGATTTAGCTAGGTGTTCACAATTAATTGAAATGATAGTTATAACAATTTTGTTGAAAATTCATTAAGAATTTGAATTTTTAGCAAATTAAAGTAACTATGAAAAAAATAACATGCACGATTAATTTTTCAGCAATCAGCCATTCGATAAACCCATTTAGGAAGAAGCTTAAGAATGATCTATATATAGATATTTGTATATATTTGTATATAATCTG